AGGACTTATTCTATCCACATATCCATGAGTCACAAAGCGTTAGTCACAATTTCTTCTGAGCTAAAACTCTCGAATAAGATAAGTGGATACACAGAGGAAATTGTCATCATCCATACCAAATGCTGGCCTCTGGCTGCCTTCTTCATCTGAAGCCCAATGTGTGTGTTATAAGTTCCTCTAGAAGTCAAGAGCCTACTGGCTTTTCTGGACTCCGTGCAATGGTTAAGCACTCTGCTTCCAACTGAAAAGGTGATGGTTCAGACCCACCAGTGACCCCATTTGGGGAAAGACCTCACGATTCTTAAAGATTCTGGCCTATGGAGCAGATCTGTTACATTGGGTCACTATAACTCAGAATCAACTCAAAGGCCCACAACAGAGAATGATAATCAGCGCTCTCTCTTCCCTCTCTCCCAGATGCTCCCTCCCTTCTCCTCTGTCTCACCAAGTCTCTTTCTCTTCCTTTCCCCCCAATCCGCACACCTCCCCCCAAATCATGACAAGGTGGAAACCTTGGCAGCTAACATGGTAGGTCATTATCTCAGGGATCCTGGTTTCAGTCTCCTTGTACAGTTCTCCGGGACATAACTGAGGAAATGGCTGAGAGACCGGGTCTCAGTTACTGCCTTCACATCGCTTGATCACTGCCTCAGGAGCCCTCTTCTCACCATCCTGCAGCTTTGATTTTTGTTTAAAAGGAACAGGAAGAGACATTCTGAAAGTAAAACTTGAATTCACATCAACTTTCCTTTTCTAGTAAATCTCTCCATCTACAATAAGTGCATGCCAAGCCTATTAGCCAAAGAGAACAAAAATAGGTTACCACAAGGCACAGCATTGCTCCTAAAACTTAGTAATTGGGAATAAATGTTACATTTGACAAGTCAAACGGTTTAATTATTTCCCAGGTTTTCTGCTCTCTCTTTTGGAACAACTTTTCTATGTTTAGTTTTACTCACTAGGGAGTTTTTCCTTCTGTTGCACTCGGGGTCGCTGGGAACCAATTCCAGGGCAGCTGACAACAGCAACATGGAGTTGTTGGCTTGTTTTGCTAGTGCTTCTGAACACAATGCAAAAATGTAAAGAATGAAGCAGAAACATATTTGTAAAGCAAATTAGGATTATCTATAATGCTGCTGTTACTGCAGACTTTGGTATGGATTCTTTCTAAGACTTTTAGTGTACAAATGGACACACGCTTGCTTGCTGGAGATTAAATGTGGTTGACCTTTATCTCAACCAGCTTGTCTCACTGAAGGTAGTATGGGCATCTTTCCATGCTAATAACTGTAGTTCTATTTAATTATTTTTATAGCTGAATAGTATCCCATTTTATGGTTGTATGCAATTAGGTTGATTTTTTTTGTGGATAGGAGATTTTTATTAACATTTTAAAATTATTTATCATAATGCTTCAGCAAATATTGCCCAACTGTCTCTTGAAATAAATCCCCCCCACCCAAAAAAAAGAAATTCCCAGAGATGAAATTGAGCGTGTTAAAGTGCATGCTCTTCTCTAACCCTTTTGCTATACATAGCAATTGCCCTTGGGAAAAACTGTACTAATTTATTTACCGAAAAACAAATCTGATCATTCCTCCTCTATATCCTTATATGCAGTTGTTTTTCAATAGAGTTCCATTTGAAAGGCCAAACCATCAAAAGCTATCTTTGAATGCAAGGTTATGCGCTAGTTTTGTAGTTATAGCAGTCTGCAAGGCATATGTGATCCATGGTCCATAGTGAAGATACTGGCTTCTCCAGATGTTCCAAGTCATCATCTTGCCAGATTTTCACAGAACAGATGTTGTGATTTTTACAGCAAGATTTCACAATAGTAGGGCAAATTGGCCCAATCTGCTTCAGCTTAATGTTCTGTTTCCATGTAAGGCCCCACCCATCCTATCCTAAGTCTCAAGCATTACTCTGACTACTGGTCTTCTACTCTTAAGTCCCCCACTTAGTCCTGGCTGCCCTTGTGGCTCCATCAATACATGTATTTTCCTCTTTTTAAATCATTTTCTCATTCCCCTGACTACTCCTGTATGTCTTTAATATTCTTCCTCTGCCATCAAACATTGCCAATAAATTACATAATGGTGATGAGGAAATTTGAAAGAAAAATGACAGTGCACACTATTGCTGCAAAATCGAGATTCTGTAAAGTTGAAGTAAAAGGGAAGTTGTGCCAGGGCACAACTCAAGGGGAGCTTGCCTCTTTCTTCTCAACTCTGCAGGTAGCAGGAGGTATTTCTTCTCCCAAAGTGTTGGACGCCTTATGTTCTCATCCTCTTACCCCAGGTTTTGACCTTTGAGGTTCTTACTCGCCTCCTAATTTTTTTTCACACTGATAAATTTATTATATATATATATATGTATGTGTGTGTGTGTGTGTGTGTGTGTGTGTGTGTACCCATGGCTCTGTACTCAGATATCATTGTGGTTCTGTGCTGACTTCCACAAAATGTAACTTAACCATCATGGACTCTTCACAACTACATTCTGGACAAAAAGAAAAAGGTCCACAGAGATGGCGGTCAAGACAGACCTACTGCAGACATTTGTGATGAATATTCACTGGAAAATGAAGTTTGACGTTATTTATAATTGCATCAACATTCACAGAGGCCGAGTATCAGAGGCCAAAGGATGCAATATCACCACAAGAAACCTTTTCATATTTTCCAATTAATTTTATATAGTCAGTCAGTCACCAGAGGGGGGTGGGAAACAACTTGTTCTTGTCAAGCAGAATGTTTAAGTCCATTCGACCAAAGAGTCTGGGATATCTTTCTGGGTCTGTTCCTTTGCAGATGGGACGAGACTAGAACCAGGTTCTTCACATCATGCGTTCTCAGGCAGTGCCACATCTTCATGTACTATCCCATTGCTTTAAGATAAATGGAGTGACTCGCAGCAGGGCCTCATAAATAAGAAAGTTCCTTATGGAGGAGATCACGTCTTAGCACATCCGTTTCATTTCCTCAGGGTCCAGCTTCGGCGCGAGACCCTCGATCTGAAACACTGTGGCTGGGCTTCAGCGGCTCCTCGCTAGGGATCTAGGTGCTTCTCCGATTGCCGCCTCGCGCCCCGATCTCGGCTCATTTCCTCTTTTCTCCTCCTAATTTAATCTCCCCATGACCTCATCACTCCTGTTACCTTACTGAAGAAAGATGAGGATAGGGGCAGGGGCTATGAAGACGTAGAACTGAATACAGTTTACCCTTTCAGGGCTGGCTGATGTGGAATAAACTGAATTACACAGACCCCTAAGAAACATTAATAACAATAAGTAGGTTGAGAAGGCATTTGGTGCTCTCCACCAAGAATGTAAACTGTTAAGAATTTTTAGGTTCTTAAAAAAATGAATCTGGCCCACCAAGCCCCATCAGACTGGACTGGAAAACACTCTTAAAGGTCAACAAACAGACCTTGAACTATTTATAGGCTTTTCTTTTTTGTTGTGGTTTTGTTTTGGGTTTTTGCTTTCTTTTGCTCTGTCTTCTTTTGTGTGCTTATTATTCCCTCTGCAGGTCTATGTAGATAAGATAGGCAGGATAAACCACCTGGAGGAGAAAACAAAGGGACTGACGGTTCCGGGGGACATGGGAGAGGGGAGTTGGGGAAAGGAAGTGGATGTTAACAAACCCAGGGACAAGAGAACAACAAGTGATCTAAAATCGATGGTTGAGGAGGGCATTGGATGTCTGGTACAGCTTGATTAAGGGCAATGTAACTGAGAGGAATTACTGAAACCTGAATGAAGGCCGAACATGATAGTGGGACAAGAGGAAAGTAAAAGGAAATAGAGGAAATAACTAGGAGGCAAATGGGCATTTATAGAGGTCTAAATACAGGTATGTACATATGTAAATATATTTA